AGAAATATATGAAAATTTCAAACAAAAAATGATTTGATCTTTTATCTAACCTTAATTTCGATGTTTTATTTGATGAACGATGTTAAATGAATGATATGAATTGAATTTTTTGTTGATCATCGATGATGTTGTTCTAATGACGCTGAGAGTATAATTAATCGTAGGTATTGGAGATATGTTCGTATTCAAACAGAATTGAAGGTTGGATTTAAAGAGCAAAAAGCGAATGAATTTCAACTGTTCGTATTTGTGATTGAAGGTTATTATATCATATTTACAAGTTTGTCACCGTGTCCTTTATGTTTAGACGCTAATTAAATGAGTGGCTGAGAATGATTCCCCATTCAAAACCTTTTTTATTTTCTCAATTGAACCCACCTCTCTCTCTCTCTATATATATATACATTTATATATATATATATATATATATATATTATATATATATATATATATATATATATAACAATTTAACTTGTTTTTTTGTCCACGTTCAGTTCTTATAACCGGTTACTCTAGGTTAAGCCGAAAAATGACTTAATATGGTATTATAGTTTTTAGTTTGTACACATTTAATCCTTAATGTTTTATATACATTTAATCTTTAAGACTGTTTTTTTAAGATTTTGCTTAAACATCCTATGTGAGACAATCATCAATGAGGTTTTCTTAAAAGTAGTCCCTCCTTCACTTATATCAGTAACATAATTTACAAATCAGTCAAATAATGTTGGTCCCTAGGTTTCTCCAAGCAGAAGATGTATTCGACTTCAATTTGATCTATCTCCATAGAAGACAACGAGATTCTTTGTCTTGAAAGTGCAAATTCGAGTTAGGAGGAAGCAATCTAAAAAAAATCTTGTTGTCTGCTCTATATATATATATATATATATATATATATATATATATAATATATATATATATATATATATATATATATATATATATATATATATATATATATATATATATATATATATATATATATATATATATATGAAACCTTTTACCATAGTGTTCTTTTGTCTTGGAAGTGCAAAATTTGAGTTGAGAGGAATTGATCACCGAAGAATATCATTGTATGTTATGGAGATAGATGAAGCTGAAGTCGAAGACATCTTTTGCTTGGAGAAAACTATGGCACTAACATTATTTGACCAATTCGTGAATTAGGTTACTGATATAAGTAAAGGACGAGTCACATATGAGAACAACCTATTAATGATTGTCCCATGTAGAATGTCGTGAACAAAATCTAAACAAATCGCTTATAAGGACTAAATATGTATAAAAATATTAATAACTAAATGTGTACAAATTAAAAGTTATATTACCATATTAACTCATTTTTCCGGCTTAATATGACGTAATCGGTTATAAGAACTGAATGTTGATAAAAAAACAAATTTAATGGTCAAATATAAAAATTAATAAATAAATAAATAAATAATTTAATGATCAAATATTTACAAATCAAAATATATATTAAATTTTTAATTCATTATTCTAAAAAATATATATAGAAAGTTAACAAAACCTTTAATATAACCAAATCATACGATTTCCGTGACCTGGTCTTGTAAATCATAATTTTAAATCTCGTATGCGACAAAATTTAAAGGAATATCAAATATGTCGTCGTCAAGGACAAAAAATTTCCAAATCTTTTTTTCAAAAATACCTTTTTGTGTCAAAAGTCTTTGTACATTTGTTTGATTGTGGCAGAAAACACATGTAAAATCACATGACAAGGCTAAACCTTGAAAAGCTTGGGCCCGAAGAAATATCTCAATCAAGGCCCACTAGCACCATTAACACCTTTTTGTTTTAATTCCAACGTATGAAATACTAAATATTTATTTATATATTTTCATATTATATCTTCAATGTTTTTTATTGTACTACATATTTGATGTTTATTATTGAATTAAAATTATTTTGTATCTAGATAATATGGTAGTTTAGAAAACCATCTGAATTGAACGATAGAATTTCTCTTTATTTTTATCGATTAAAAGAGTTATAATTTAAAAACTTAATTCGATAGTAATAACAGAAAACATTTTGTATACAGATAATATAGCTATAACTAGATTGATTTTCAATTATAATATCAATAATAGACAAAGATTAAAATAGGATCCTACGACAATATCCAAATCAATAAAAATATATTGTTATTTTTGTATTTAATCCATTATTTCATATATATATTATATATATATATATATATATATATATATATATATATATATATATATATATATATATATATATATATATATATATTCCTGTAGGGTTTTAGAATCTGTTATTATAAATCCATAATATTTTTTCTTTGGAACAAAAGATTTTGTTTACTAAACGTTAGGAAAATGTTAGAAAACAATCATTACACAAAGGCAGTTGTAGTTAACGAGTTGTGTAGCCAATGAAGCCACTTAATTTTAACATTATTGCTCTTCTAAAACCCCCAAAAAAATATAGAAGATCAACCAACGATTTGGTTCCGGATAGACATATCACAGAGCAACAAACACATCAATTGATTCACCATAAATTGGACATAACAAAAGAATCCACGTTTATTGGAGTTTCAAATTGGATAATCGTGTTTTGTTTTTGCTTGTCACGATCCATCAAGATGTCATGTTTTCTTTAACTAATACGAGAACGAACTGATTTAAAAACGACATGACAAAACAAAGATAATATAAAATAACAGTTAGTTTATTTAATTAATACTTAATCATACATAATATGACAAAATGAAAAACATGATAAACAAGTGTTAAGTCGTGTTAATTTTGTGTCAAATTTTGGATACAAAAAAGACACGAAATCGTGGCTTTACACTTGACATGAGTACGATATGAACACGAATTTCAGTTTCGTCATAGTTTCGTTTCGTGTCGTGTATTTTTGCTATGTCGTGTCATCATTTATCACCCCTTTACATCTACACTCTAGTGGATACTTCATTAAGTCGTATTTTCAAGCCAAAACATTGAAGTTAAATGGGACAAAGTTGTTCCACGACATAAGACTATCAGAAGCGGACACAAGATTTCATAATAGGTGTAGCACAGGAAAAATTAATAGTGCTACAATAGTAGAAAAAAAATTCAAATTTTTTTTACACTGCATACACAAAAATTAGACGTTATCGGTGCTATTTTGGAACACCCTAGAAAAGAGTCCCTTATGATTATCTCCTACAATTCTACAAGCAAACTTGCTTTATCAATTTTCTAGCTAAGGCAACCGAATCCCTTATGATTATCTCCTACAATTCTACAAACAAACTTGCTTTATCAATTTTCTAGCCAAGGCAACCGAGTATTAATCATGTGGAATTTTTTTAATACCACCCTTTAAATTCTTTAATATTACTATAAGAAAGAAAAAAAATCAACTTGATGAAACTATAAATAGTTTTCAACCTAACAAAGAATCATATGATGTAAGAATATGTGAAAAACATTAGTTTCCAGAGCCTAACATCCTATTAACAACGTGAAAATATTCCACCAAAGAGTATAATATTCAGAACAAACCAAACCTAAATCTCAATTAGGTTTTAACCCTTGAAAATCATGGTTGTTATTTTTATAATTATTATATAAACAAATAATAATACAAAACATGAACAACAAAAAGTTTACTTTGATCGCTAGAAAACATGAAGTAATGTGAAAAGCCAAATAAACATAATAGTTTAACATAAATTCTAAAACACTTCTTTGTATACTACATTGGAAATTTTATTGATCAAATTACTATAATTATCTAAAATCAACAACTTCATTCATTCTCTGTACTTTACTATGAATAAAGAAAATATAATTGGCCGTGCGTGAACAATTGCAAAAACAACCCAACATTTATTAATTATTGACCTTGACTTTTATTTACAGTCATAGCAAAACAAATTGTTACAGGAAATTGTTTTTTTTAATTTGAATGGAAACTTTACCTCTGAAGGTGTTAAAGATAATTTTGAAATAAAACAACGATGTCCACTATTGCTTGTGGTAATGACCACTATTTCAATGACTCGATTGCCTGATGATATCACCTAAAGTCTAGTCACATTACATAAGCAATTTTCTAATCGATGTTTCTTAATAACATAACCAAACCACTTGTAACATAACCAAGAAATCGATTTTTAAAACTAAAATATTTTAAAATAAACTCTAACATTTAAAAAAACTCTTAAAATATTTATAAATAAACTCTTTATAGAAGGGTGACCCACAATTCATAAATAAATAAATATATAAATAAGAGTTTTAACACCAACTAGATGCATTCCCCCCGCATTGCGGGGGTCGGAAGTTGTTACTGTGTGTGCAACTATAGTCATTTCCTGATGATGTTTGTGGATAAATATGACTTCCAAAGATTGAATTAACTTTATTTATGAATCTTTTCTTCTTCAATTGCTTGTATGATTTGCACAAAGTGTTCCTCAAAGCTTTGATTAGAACACAGTGTTTATCAGAAGAACATAACTGGTGGTCTCCAGTGATCCTGAAAATCAAAACAAAAAAGCATATCTCAGAAATTCAGTTACAGAATATGGAACTTAAATAAGTTAATATGACTAATAGAATATGAAGGTTTACATGAATTATCCTAAAGGTGCAGAGACAGAATAAATAACATGAGATGTAGTACGCAAATAGGTGAAACAAAATCTAATACTAATATTCAGAAAGTTGAATTCAGAGTAAAGGTATTAACAAAAATCTACCTTACATCCATGGTTTCCATACCTCAGTCTCATGTCTATTGTGTTATAATATTGATTTTCTAGAAAATGCCGAATTGCCACTATGCTTCTTTGAAGGGGCCATTGTTGTAATAACTATCTTAATATAAAAAAAATTTATCAAATAATTATTAAAAGAAATGTATATTAATAAATAAATAAAATACAAAAACTAATATGGAGCACCTTCAATTTCTATATCATTTGTCTCTGGAGTTGTCAATGATTATTTCATCACTGGTGGAGAAAAACCTATATTTTCAAATTTTATTAGTAAAACCAAATGATTAAAAATATATTATATTTTTTAAAAAAATACCTTTCACTTGCGTAGCAGAAGGCAACATCAAAATCATGTCACTAAACTCCACCTAAATTCATCTCCAACCTAAACATGAAAATAAATAAATAAAATTATTTTCACTGTTTATTTACACTTTTTTAGTATAATTAAAATTAGGTAATATATATATATATATATATATATATATATATATATATATATATATATATATATATATATATATATATATATATATATATATATACTCATCCACCATAAACGTAACCTAGGGCAACTCCTGTTGGTATGCACACGTAAAAGATTCCCAATGATACTGTTCTCTGTAAAAAAAATGTTTTTTGAATACCGGGGTATTTCCGTCATATGTACAAATAATGGGTGATTGGTTAAAAAAATGGAGCGTGAGTTACGCTGGTATTGTTGTCAATAAACGGAGCTGTAAGAGTAATGAACGAAGCCTCAACAACACCAAGTGCTGCAAAAGTCAAAACAGATAATCCAACTCCAAAATGATTTTGAGCCAGTGTTTTACTGCAAAAGTCAATCTTTTCATTCCCTCAAGATTTATCCTTATTATAACACAACTCTCCATATATGCCCCTCTCGAAGCAATTTTACTGCAACTTACAATATTACCCTTTTTCTGTATAATGTGCCATATGGGATATCTGTGAATCCGTATGCTAGAAAAAAGTATCTAACCTTCTGCCAAATCATCACATAAATGTGCTATTTTTTATTTATTTCCCTATTTACCCCTGTCATTTGTAACCTACTGTTTTGTTTAGGTTCAACATGTAATAAGTAATAAATCATTTCTTCCTTCCAATTTTGGATGATCCCCTGATTTGTCCCTGTGTTTTGTGTCCCATTCTTTTAATCGACTTCACTATGTGGTCTACATACCAGGCCGATAGGTCTAAATTTTTTTTCTTTCCTAATTTACCCCTGTTTTTCTTATCATACCAATTTCATTACAGAAATATAACATCCGTTTAATATGCTATTTTTTTTCTTTTATGATTTGCCAGTGTCTTTAGTATGTCACTTCTTCCATTTCATTGAATAAGTGAAATTTTTTTTTATAACCTTTTTCTGTTGTCGTTCAGTATGAAAAAGTTTACAATTTAAAAGATTGGTCATCCTGTTAGGTATTTCAACAGTCTTGGTGATTTTTTTTTTTTGTAATTTTTTATCACTTCCTACAGGTTAAACTTCCCACACATACCCCTCTGATAAAATAAGTTGTTGCATACCTTCATACCGTTGATTTATACTTACTGTCCGATGTGCCATATGAGATATTCGTGAATCTGTTGGGCACAATAAAAACTTAAACTTTTATCATATCATCACATAACTATTAACACATTTTATTATTCTCTAACCTACCCCTGTCTTCTATGTCCTACCATTTACGTTAGGTTCACAATCTCATACTTCCTTACTATTTTATGCATTGAATTCTTAGTATACACAACATACATTCCACACGATTCATGTTTTCCATACTTGCCCTATAAAAACCAATTTTCTTCTAAATAACAGGATTACTCAATACCATCCCACATGGTATATTGGATATCTATGAATTCATTTGCCAATAAAAAAAATTTACTTTTTCTCATGTCATCAAAAAAATATGGTACTTTTTTTAAAATTTCCCTAATTTACCCCTCTCTTTTCGTGTATATCTTGAAAAAGGAAATAAGAAGGTAAATATCATTAATGTGATGTTTTAGAGCTACGATTGCTTTATACAGATATGATTCCAACTAATAAAAAGGTAACCAAAAAGGATCGAGTGCCTTTTCTGATTATGGTATGAGAAAAAAGACCAAGAAGTCACTTTCTGATTGGAATGGAAAGTGACAACTTCAAACTAATTCAACCTAGAAGATTCACTGAAAATCCAACATAGACACCATAAGTGCATAACCGATGCTCGAGAATGTAATCTAACAACCACAAAGATGAATCTGAAAATAGGCTTTTACATCTCATGATTTGTGTTTCCTGAAACCTCACATTATTAGGATGAGGATACCCTCTTGGTGGTATCTATTTTCCCAATTACAAAGATAAGCATTGATGTTACATAGTAACGATACTCTGTTTTCTGGTATTACTTTATACACTTAGAAATACTCAGTAATAAGATCTTTCACAACCCTACAGTCTACATATTTCCAGGCAATCAGAAGATGAAAAGTTGGTCTTTCTTTCCCTAAAAATTTTAACTCTTAACCTAGCGGATCATCATACATGAAAAGTTATTCAAGTTCACAAATCTGTTAACATGTAGTCATTTAACGCAATTATGCACATAACCAATCAAATACAAGAGCAAACAGAGAATCATGTCAACAGGAACTGGAAATTCAATAGAGAGGGAAACATGATGATACATAAGTGTTAAGCTGGCGAAAAAAAACTAGAGAAGTTATTATGCTTGAGAAGTTTGGGAAAAAGGTCCTTACCGAACTCAGGAGGGTCCCGGACGATGAAGCTGTTATTCGTAGCGCAAGGGAAGAACCTTATCGGTAGCAGGATCATCCACCATATCGTAAGTCGTGACCAAGAAGGGCGGTGGAACATTGATAGTGGACATCAGAGGCGGCGTACGCGGCAGAGCAGCAGTACCGCAGCCGACCTCACTATCTCTGTAACATCCGAAAAATACAACCAATTTAAAATTTTCAAAACAACCTGATTTTCATTAAAATGTTTACAAAAAGGTTTTCAATACAAGTCATTAGAGTATTCCCAGAATCACATTGCTACAAAATCATGAGGAGCGGTACGATCGCGCCTTCGCCTTCCACAGTCTCCTGAAGAACCTGAAAAACATTAAACCACAACTGTAAGCCCGAAAGTTTAGTGAGATACCCCCAAAATACCAACCACGCATACGCTCTTCCAGGCTACGATCTTCCGGTCCAAAACATATAAACATACATAACATAACAGAACATAGAACGGGCCATGCATATCGGGTCTACCGTGTGACTGGTCCGCCGTATCGGCCTTCAGTCCAACGGATCCATCCTCCAGGTCTAGTCATGTCCTTCGAGTCTACAGTGGGGTTGGTCCGCCCGCATCGGGCCTTCAACCCACCTGGTCCACTCTCCGAGTCTACAGTGTGACTGGTCCGCCCGCATCGGGCCTTCAGTCGGCCTGGTCCACTCTCCGAGCCTCGGCACGTCTGGTCCGCCCTCGTGGGGCCTACAGCCTATCCGGACCGCTCGCTGGGCCTTCGGAACAACCGGTCCGCCCTGGGTATCTTGGCCTACAGCACAAAGCAGGACCCGCCTCAACCCATCTCCAGTCCAAACAACCATGTGCACAAAACATACATTCATATAACAGTCATAGTCAACAAACCGAGCAAGCAGATCACATAGCATATCATTACCCTAACCGGTCACTAGCATAGCATCACTCTGTATATCGGGAAAACTGACCTTAACAAGGCCTCCTAGCATGTACCATCCTAGCTACCAGGATGCAGACACATCAAACAATAACATAACAACCATAACCGAATCTCAATACAATAAAGGGCCGGCCTTGGTGCCTTAGACCCTGTTGATATAGTGAGGATAACTCACCTCGAAACTGTCGGCTGAAAAGATAAGATCCCGCTGCTCCGAACTCTGGCACGAACTCCTCCACTAAACATCAAAACATACAACTCAATAAATACCCTTAATTACCAAAATACCCCTGGAAGACAACTGGTCAACCTTGGACGAGCCAAAGTCAACCCCTGACTGACCCTACTCACCGAGTCATCCCGATGACTCGCCGAGTCCTTATGCTCAGAACTTCCCTCAATTAGCGACCCAACTCGCCGAGTCACCCCAAGACTCGTCGAGTCCAACAACTCTGAGTCCACTCGCACCCAACTCACCGAGTCATCCCTTGACTCACCGATTCATCGACTCAACCAGAAATATTGGGACTTCCTCGACAAGACTCGCCGAGTCCAAATGGACTCGTCGAGTCCAAGGCCATCTTCAACCTACTCGCCGAGTTGTTCTTCCAACTCGTCGAGTCCCAGGCCATCTTCAAGCAACTCGTCGAGTCCACCCATGTGACTCGTCGAGTACCACCGTTCTGAATCCATACAGAAGCATCTCAGGCCATGCAATTAATCCAAAACATAGATCCAACCTCCTACAATCCATCCATCACGTAAAGTGGCAAACTTTACGTGAATCTAACGAGATCTAAGCCATATTCACCTTAAAACCAAGGTTTGGGACATGGTGACTTCACTAAGCACTCAAACACAGGAACTTTAATGCACTCTAGGCCTCAATATTCCAGATCTGAGGTAGCAACCTCAGATCTATCCTCCAAACTCCAAAACATTCCAAGACATACTCCCCACAAACCCCAAAATGATGAAACTAGGAATGCACAGCCTAAGGACGAAGATATTACCTCCAAAAGATGCCTCAATAGCAGCCAAACTCGAATCCAAGCAAAGCCCTTTGATCCAAGCCACTTCTCCTTCAAGATCTCTTCAAACAACACCTCTCCAAGCTCTAATTTGCTCCACAAATGATCTCTCCACGAATTTAGGGTTTCTGGAACTCAAGGGGGGAATAAGGGAGGCTGTGGAGGAGTATAATGCTCTTTATATAGGGCTCAACCCCGAAAATTAGGGTTTTCTCCATATAGCACCTACTCGCCGAGTCCATCTAGGGACTCGCCGAGTAGGCCACTTGACACGCGACCATGACCGCGACCTGACTCACCGAGTCATCCATGGACTCGCTGAGTCATCCTCTAAAACTTACACTTTCAGCCCTTCAACTCTACTCTTGCGATTCCGGGATGTTACAATTCTCCCCCACTTAAATTAGGCTTCGTCCTCGAAGCCTTCCGCATCTCATCTTCAAATTACTTCCCACGACGCACCACTTGACCTTGACCGAACCAAGTCCCTCAAGGTACAACCATAGAACCAGAAGCTCACTTCTCTTCCCCTACGGTGTCCCCATCACCTACTCAAACCGGGCACCAGCTGAATCCCTCTGATAACCACACTCAACAACCGAGAATTACCCATGATGCTTTACTGCTCCAATTCTCATCCTTCACTTGACTCATATGGCTATAATGCCTCGAACCATCGGATCCCCGATCCGAATTCCACTCTATCCATCCCATGACGACCGAAAGACCCATTCTTCCATTTCGGAGCAACTCCCCCGAGTTCTCCTCTCGCAATCACACACTCATGCTGATCTAGCTCTAGCACCCTCAGGTTTGGAAAAACTGATACACTGATGATATCCTCGAACATCCTTCCAGGATGAACCGCTAAAACGTAGCCAAAACCCTGATCAGAATCTCACTGAGAGTCCAAGACTCTTTCTCTGTATCCCTTCCGAATCCCTCTCCCTGGCTCTACATCGCGGTATTCCCTCCGCGCCCAAAGCAACATATCAAGTCGAATGAGCTTTTATTCCACCGCCGCAACACACTACTCAAGGACCATCGACGGACCACTCCAATCATAACTCTACACTGCCGCTTTCACTTCCGTGAATTCGCACTCCCTTTTGGATTCATTCCTCCCTCTTTCCTTACCAAGGAAACCACTCGTCCGCCCAGTCACCATGACAGGCACCATGGTGCTCATCCCACGCTACATTACCTTTTAAAGCGTACCCAACATCCATGCATCACCACTACTCTGACTCTCATCACAGGGACTCTCAAGCCCATGCACTACCTTCACTGCTCAAGATGCTACCCGGGGCCAGACCTCCCAATGTAATCACACTGCAACATACGCAACCCATAACCTCAATCCGATCCAACATACTCGCAGAGTCTTCAGCATGACTGGACCGCCTCCCCAGGCCTTCAGCCAATCTGGACCACTCTCAGAACCTTCAGCCAATCTGACTGGACCGTCCTCCGAGCCTTCGGTCTGACTGGTACGCCTACCGGCTTACAGTCTATCCGGACCGCTCAACTAGCATTCATCACTCCGAACCATCCCTTCGGGAAATCCTCCCGTGCATACCGTTCTAGCCCTCTAGGGGTTCCGAACTCTATCTCCATCATACATGCTCGATCCCGGCCTGCTCCCATGCCTTCCTCAATCAACTGCTCTAGGTCTGTATTCCGCCCCGCACGCCTGTTACTCACTCATACGAGCCTGCTCTCGACTAATAGAAATACCGCTGAATTCCCCAAGCAGCTAAACAACCTCTCAGGCCCAACGATCATCCGGAGAATTTCCAATTCTCCCCCACTTAAGACACTGACAGTTAGTCACCGGTCGCCATCACCGATCTCCCCAAGCAACCTTGCAGGAATCAACACATGCACTCAAAAATGTTTTTCACCAGCACCAACAACTTTCATACAATCATGTTCCCATGCTGCACAACCTGCTCGAAAGGAACCCAATCTTCAACTATCAATTCCTCAGACTACAGAATCTAACTGGCCTTCAAACCAACGCCGCATCCGCCACCAATCCTCACAAAGATAATCAACGATAGCTCGAAGTACAAATCCATAACCATAACGATCCTTCAGGGAACAAAAGATACTAAAACGAAATCTCGATCACAACTCGCCAAACCCTCAAGGAACAACGGATACCACACGAAAACCCGAAACGCAATTCAACGAAACCAACAGATAACAATACTCCACAACAATCATAAATAATCAAAACATCAGAAAGAAACATACCCGCAGCAGCAAGCTGAAAAACACGACCCTAAGCCCTTGGGGGCTCCGCTCCACCCTGATCTCCACCTGTGATCCTCAACGTAGCCGGTGCTGGAGCCTGCACCGGTCCTGCAGCAAGCCGTGGACAGTTGACCTTCAAATGTCCAACCTGATGACAATGATAGCATATCCTCAAATCCCGAACCGGCACTGACTGCCGACAATCCCTCGCATAGTGTCCCTCCTTTCCGCACTTGCGGCATGCTCCACCGGACCGACAAACCCCGGCATGACCCCTTCCACACTTTCCACAGACGTGGCACCCTGATCTCCCATCCTGGAATCAACGGTCTTAGACCGTTTCGTCGCCGGCTGCGACTGAACCGGAGCTTGCCTCAGCTCACGCATCTGTAACTCAATCTCTAACTCACGCCGCCTGGCGGCCTCCTGCAACTCCAGCAAAGTCTCGCACCTCTGCGCAGACACAAACTGTCTGATGTCTCTCTTTAGCATACTCAGATATCGGGACATCTGAGCCTGCTCCGAAGCGAACTCAGGGCAAAACATCGCCCTCTCAGTAAACATCCTGGTGATTTCCGTCACCGATTCCGAATCCTGTTTCAGCTCCAAGAACTCCTGAGCCAACCTCTCCCTCTCGACCTGCGGAACATAACGAGTGCTGAACATCTCTCTGAACCGATCCCATGAAATCGCAGCCCTCTGCGCATCCGAGTACGACCCCGTGGTCAATCTCCACCAATCCTTTGCTCCGAGCCTCAACAGGTTCAAAGCACACCTCACCCTCTGATCAGCAGGGCATGAACACGTGAAGAAACATCCCTCCACATCTGATAACCATCTCATAGCAACGATCGGATCCTGAACTCCATCAA